AAAGTTCATCAGGAAAAGAGACTGTGCTGTCCCTTCACTCAAGTGGAATTCTTCCTCCTTTTATGAGCAGCCTGCAAAATCTGAAGTTCTCACCAGTTACAATAAAAGGTGTTGCAGGGGCTGTGCTCCATTTTCTGAGCTAATAAGTACAGAATTCTTGGATGGGGTGAATCTGGATTTTCAAGAGCACAAAAATAGTCACACGGCTTTGTATGAGTTGGTGCAATCAAGATCCCTTCTGTCAATTGTTATTTATGTATGTGTGTATTGTGAGTGGGCATTGAAAACCTTCAAATACTCAGGAGAAATCTTGAAACTTCTGTTGTAGAGTTCAGAACAGATTTATTTTTTTTTTAGAAGACACCTAAATATTTTGTCTTCTACATTTTGAATATGTCAAATTTCGAACATAAATCTCACTGTTTTCCATTCACATTCTATCTTTTTATATTCAACAGCAAAGTAAATACTGTCTTTCCCCACTTCTTGATCTTCAAATCTTCTATTTTTCTTCATCTTTTTCTCAGTCTGCTACTTACCATGAAAAAGCCTGCAAAATTTCAGTGTGTCTACTTTTTCATCCCATGGTGGTGTTCTTTACATCTTTACCTGCCCCCCCCATCTTTATGGGGACAGTGGGCTCCCATAGCTATATGACAGAAGCTGTTGGTGACGTGCCCAGCATCCTCTGTAGTGCACGGCATAAGGCAGTCTGCCAACAAAAAGCAGCTTAATGATACTGCGGTTAAACCTCCTCCTTTGAGGCACGTCACTCCCTCTTCATGGATTTATGCGGTCCATTGGAGAGCAGTGTTTCCTCTATTCTTTCTGGAATCTCAGCTGTAGAGTGGATTTCTGTGTGTGGGCCTGGCCACAGCACTGAGCCCAGTTGTGGGACTTGCCAGCCTGACCACACAAGCTGTGCAAGGAGGAAAATTAACATAAATGTTCTAAAAACAACAGGATTAAATATGTTCTCTGTCTTGTCAGACTATCCCAAGGGAGCTGTTGGGCACATTGTTTATAGTGAGAAAGGCATTCTGGCTGTCGAAAAAAATAAAATTTTGATTCCTCCTCTGTGGAGCAAAACATTCTGCTGGGGATTTGAGGACTTCACCTGCTGCTTTGGCAACTATGGGTCTGAGAAGGTAAATGAGAAAAAGTCTAAGCATTCCATAAATTAATGTTATTGTGGTCTTTGGCTGGTTTGGGCACCCATTTCAGAGGCTGTTGGGGAGCTGATTTCAGAAGATGCTGTACAGGACTTTCTCACAAGCAAGCTTCTTGAGGAATCTCAAGTTGGATATCCCAACAGAGTACAAAGTCATTCTACAGTGCTCAAAAATGTGACATTTCCTCTCAAGTTTTCCTTCCAATGACTGTGTTATCTCAAAGTGAAGGAGAAACTCTGTTTCATAGGTTGTAAGCACAATACAAGGTCTCCTGGCCACTGATTAGAAATTTCATTGTGCAGAACTTTCTGCTGGAATTAAGACAGGACCATCTGTCAATTCCCCTCTGGCTCCCAAGCTTAGTTCAGTGCATTAATTAAAAATATAGATGTCTTCTATTCTAAGATGTTAATACTCACTTCTTTGCTGTTAAAAGTCAGTGGTCTGTCATCACACTGCTTGTTAGGGCACTTGATAGATCCAGTTTCTTCCTCTACCACAAACACAATGATTTTTGGATGTGTTTGGGACAATGTTATGACACGCAAAGACATCTGATTTAGCTTGGGTACCAGAACAGCAGAATACATCATTCAGTAGGATACTGACTTGGGTATTTTTGCAAGCCAGATTATTTTTTTTACAGACATACTGACAGTCAATGGAAGTGAAAAAGCCATGAGATGTATTTTACTTTCTGCTCCCTATATAAAGTTATTGAGAGTTTTCTCCATTGACTTCAATTAAAATCAGTGTTCAGCAATTCATAGTGCTGCTGTAGGTATAAATTATTTATTTTGTCTCTTCAAAAGTCAGGGTGTCACTGAGCCTAATGACACTGAGCACAGTGCGTGAGATTACAATGGGAATAGTTGGGAGTTCAACTTGAGTTCTTTCTGGGTCAACAGTGCCTCTGGACATGAGCTTAAAAGTAATTTTTGTCCTCATTGTAAGTAGGTAAAGGTTTGTTCTGTGATGTATTTTCTGTAGCTGTGCCATCCAGCTCCACCAGAATCATTAGCAGCATAGTGTTGTCCCCATTGTGTGGGAGAGAGCTAATGCAGAATGTGAGCAGATGGACGTTTGTGCAATAATTGTAGCAATGTGTAATAGACCTGACCTTGGTTTAGGCTGGTTTGGGTGCTGCTAACAGAGCTGTCAGCACAGAACAGAATGTACTGCTTCGGCTTGTGGCTTTTCAATCCAAATAAGAGGAGGGTTGCAGAGCCTGGCACTAACTCATGTTAGCAGTGGCCGTCACAGCCTGAGCTTTCTTTTTAATCCACACTGAATGTTTTCATTTTGTCACTATATGGTGGCAGAATGAGCTTGCCTGAAGTTATGTAGGAAGTCTTGCTTTCCCCCAAGAGGGATTGGGGCTCAGGTCTCCTAAGACATAAGACGCTGACCTTTGTCCAGTCTTCCTGTTTGGCCCTTGGAGGATGGCATTGCTGCATGCAGCCACAGCCTGCGTGTGTACATATTATGCAGCTGTGCTGTGAGCATAGAGACTGGTTAAAATGAGCTTTTCTTTCCTGGATTTGAAGAAATGGGTCTCAATTGTGAAAACTGAATCTGCCATTTTGTATTAATAGACGCTTTCTATCACCAGATGAGCGTTTGACTTTAAAGCTTCTTTCTTGTACAGAACGTGACTACATTTGAGTGCATGGCAGACTGGGGAAAGTGCCTGTGCGCTGTGTGTCCTTCAGCAACTACCATAATCACATCTGGAACAAGCTCGGTTGTGTGTGTCTGGGAACTTTCCTTGGTCAAGGACAAAGTGAAATGTCTAAACTTGAGACAGGTCAGTACTGTGGTTCTTTTGCTACAGAAACTTAATGAAAATCAAAAGATTAGTTTCTTTCTCTCAGATGACTGGCAGAGGAAACACTTTTGGGTGAATCAAGAAGGAAGAAAAAAAACCTAATAATCAGCAGTATCGTGACAGCCTGTTATCAGCTCAGAAGCTGATAATATGCCTTATACCCACCGCTTATAGTTATGAACTCTGCTTGGGTTTTTTTCCCCCCTTTGGTAGCATTTCCAAAGTTTGTCATGATCAAAGAAACAGTGAAGATAAGGCATATGTTCTCCTCACTTGAAGTGCAGCCAACCCTTGGTTTATTTTTAAAAAACAGTATCACCTGGAGATTCTGATAGTTCTTTTGGGGCTAGCAAGCAATTGACAGGATCTCCAAAAGACCCTGTGAACTTAGCTGATGGAGATGAAGTCTCAACTAGGCCAAGTTCTTGATTCTTTTCTCTCAACCTGAATTCAGATCATAAAAGGTTTATCTGTCACTCCATGAGGTAGGGATGCATCCAATAAGAATGGTATAGTTTGTGTCCTCATTGTCCAAAGTCCTTTAGTGATTGTTGATTTGGAGCTCATCTATAGTCATCAAACAACTGTATAAATGCTATTTCATTTACAAAAGTGAATTCTCATGCAAGATTTGTGTGGTTCAGCTATGGCCAGTTCTCAACTTTACAAGTAAAGCTAGAATATCTGAAAGGCAGCATGGGACCCTTTTTCCCTAAGAAATCAAGAGACAGAACATGCTCTGCTACTTTTAGGTAAACTAATAAAGGATTCCCTGATCAGCAAGATCTCCAAGTGTTAGAAGCTGCTTCTGTTAATTTGCTCTGGAGGGATATTCAGATGATATTTCAGTGCTTTCTGTACCCTAAGCCAAAACATATTTTATTTGTCATGAAATGATGTGAAAACTTCAATGTCTGCTGGGATGCCAGAGAAGTATTTAGATCTTAATATATCTGAAATTCTTGTGTATTGTAATTAGGAGGAAAACTGTTTAAAGCAGTCTCTCTTCAAAGGTCTATGAAGTTTTCTGCTTGAGAAGAAGCCAGAAATATGAGACAAGATCTTCAGTGATGATCTTTTAATCTGGCTGGTTATTATTCCAAACCAGGACATTGACATAAAAATGGAAGAAATAGCAGTAGAGAAAAACATAAGCAATAATCTTCATCAGCATCAAAATGATACCAGTCAGGGGGTCAGTTTGAGTTTCAGGCAACTGTTTGAAGAGTCTGTCTTTTATCTCCAGTATAATGCCTTTCTCTTTAACAATCTAAAATCAGCTTTGCTGATGTGTTCCACTGTGATTAATCTGGTATTACCCAAAGTCCACAAAGTGGCATGAGATCATGCAATGACAAATTCTGTATTTTTCCTTCTCTTTGCTAGGTTTTTTGTTTGATGACTATCTGGCATAGATGTAAATTTGAACTATGGTTCTAAATGTCTTCTAGTGAATTACTTGCTGCTTTCATGTAATTCACTGTTTCATGGTAGCTGCTTTTTCTGCTGAACAAAAAAAAAAATTGTATCATCTTCCCTGAGAGAGTGAGCTTTGCTTAAGTAAAGCTGATGTGCTATAAAGTGGATGCTATTCACTTACCAGCTTCTCAAGGGACTAACACATTCTGGTTTGGAATGTAGTAAAGTACAGAAACTATATTTCAGCAGAAAAAGTCACTTTTCCCTCTCTAGCAGGGGCTGCTTCCACAGTTTTGTGGAACACTAAAGACTGAGCATAATAGCCTCAGTATTGATTCATGCAATTTACCAGTTCCCTCAGTGTTCATGAGCCATGCAATCCAGCCCCCAGAATTTCTGGGCCAAATGAAAACCTAGACTGGGAGAAGCATCTGGGCAAGCTGTGCTGTCTGCCACACAGACCTCTCAGGGAGGGGTTGAGTGTAGCTGTGAATTGTCAGTGTCTGTGTCAGTCAGTTAAGTTGGATGGTCAAACTTGGTTTCAGTTTTCATGCACTAAGCCTTCCTGTAGTGAAGCTGGTCTTTTTTGTCTTTTGATATTTGTGAATTTACTATGGAGATAGGCCTCAGAGTTTGTTCTGCAGATATGCTGCAGTATATTTCCCCATTAAGGGAAATGAGCAATAATGAGAAGACAGTAGAGAGCTAAAAGCATGTGACTGTTTTTGTATGAATATGCATTGAAACACTTGTGGATTGAAGCTGAGATTATAACTGGGCTCAGATCTAGCCCTCTTTTCCACATTCAGCTTGTATTTAAAGCACTTCACTGCTGGGTAGGATCTTTCTGGGTTTGAAAAAAAGGGTTTTATTAAAACTTGTGCAGGAGCTTAGCTTGACTTGACTTAGCAGTTTGAATGCTATCACAGTAGGTATGTTTTCTTTCATGCTTTGGAGGAAGGAGAGGAAATCTGGAGCCCTTGAACCTGCCTTGTCCCAGCCCTTTTTGCGGAGGTCTTGTGCAGTTCTTGAGCACAGGCACTGGGTTATGCCCAGTCCTTTGTAAAGAGACCCTTCTACAGCCAGTCCAAAACTATTGCTGAGCCTCCTTTTCTATGCTTAGTTGAGTGTGTTTCTGACCTCTGAAAACCACTGTTGGAGACGCCATTTGGGGCCAGTATTTTTAGTTGACAGTTCTTGTGAATGGAATAAATCACAAGCTGAAGTTCATCCCTTGCAGTTGCAGGTCACCTTCAGTAGTACGTAGCCTGCTGCAGCTCAGCTTCTTCACCAGTGGATTGACGTTTGAATACTGTTGTCCTAGTAACTTTGGCAAGTGGCAGCACACGTTAGCCAGCAAGAGTTCAGTCTTGCAGTCACACGCTGGAAAAGAGCATGAGATGTGTTTGCACAAATCATCTGAGGCATGTGGCTCTCCTACTCCATGCTGAACTGAGATAGACCCTGAAGATGTGCTAATTATGTCTTGTAGAGAAAGCCAGCAGGGAATATGCATTTACAGTTAAACCAACATTAGAACTGGTAGGTCTGATTTTTCACAGTAAGGCAGCTAAATATGGAGCACTGAGAGGCTTTTTAGGAAAGCTGTGAAGGACTTTTTCTCTGTTGCCCTACAGGCTTTACTGGCATTGGTGGTTATGCAGCAGAAATGTATGCTGCTGTCACTTGAGAATACCGCTTTAAAAAATTGTCATCAGCATACTTCAATCCATGATTTCTACCTGGGCTATTAAATTGGCTAAAATGTAGTCTTTTTTTATGAAACTGTTTAAATCAGACTAATATGAACTGGGCACTCCTTATGTCTCTGGAACCTGTAAAACAACAACAAAAAAAGAATTTTGTGTAATGATAAGAGAAAGGAATTCCTGTATTTAAAGGCTGGCTCCTGTATTTAAATTCCTGTCTTTAAAGCAAAAATTCTCCCCAAATGTGGTTTTTCTTAACTAAAATTGAAAAAACATTAGTACTTGTTCAGAAAAACAGAAAGATAAGACTGAAGCCACTGAAATACATCCTGCTACGGTTTATTTCAAAATGGTTTTAGATATTGAGAAATAGTAATTTCCAAGAATAAATTTTACTCAAAACTGCATAGACTGAAGTGACAAATGATGTTTTGTTGCTCAGAACAAAGCACTGGCATAGAGTCTGAAATGTATGCCAAGGGCCCTGAGTTACTGTGCAGTTTGGGGCAAGTCATATAGTCTCTTGGAGCCTCAACTTTCTTCAACCACAAGTTGAGGACAACGATGCTTCTATAAGATCCTTTGGTATTTCCCCCTCATACACTTTTCAGTTCTCCAAAAAATAACTAAGATGTTTGTTCTTACTAAGCAAATGGTAGCAGGACTGTGGTTTCCTAGTAAATCAGCCACCCTCTGCTGGGGTTTATTGGTTGCTTTTTCCCCACCAGGCTTTGTATGGGCACACTCAGGCAGTGACCTGCCTTGCTGCATCTGTGACCTACAGCATCTTTGTGAGTGGATCTGATGACAGAACTTGCATCATTTGGGACCTGAACCAGCTGACGTACATAAACCAGCTTCCTGCCCACGAGGCAAGCCTCTGTTCTGTTGCCATCAACAATTCAACAGTAAGATCTTCATTTATCATCTTTTTTCTGATGCATCCATGAACATTTCATGATAATTTAATGGGTGCTCTTCCCAACATAAAAACATCCTGAGAGTCTGATACATTGATTTTTTTTCTTTCTACAGAGATTGCTAATAGTGTTTTTAATGATGAGAGGCAAGCACTAAAAGCAGCATCTTAGACTGAGTAGCTAAGTAGAATCATCTTTGGATGGGTAGATAGCAGGATTAAACAACTTTTAGTTTATGGAGCATGAAGTATTACCCTAGTAGCTCCTGGATTTGGCTCACCCATAACCTTATTGCCTCTGTTATTTCATTAATCTCTCCTGACAATTCATGCAGCAGAGCCATGTCAGCTGAGTTAGACTTCAGTCTGCTGCCTCAGCTGACAACTACCTTACACTTTTGCAGTGACAATGTTGGCTTTTTGTTTCCCCTTCTACTCTCAGGTGTGTGGGGATCTCTTGATAGGAGTGGATATAAGTCTGTTGTGGTCTGTGCCTGGCCAGATTTGCATGCATGTTGATAGGAAAATATTCTGTATTGGATTTTACTGTAAACAGTCTGGCTGAGATTTTTTTCCAGCCTTCTACCTCCCAAAAATGTTGCTTGCACATTTGTATTTTCTGTCTCTGTTAGTATACTAGAGCAGGGTTCCAGCTGCTCAGACAATTCAAGGTTGGATCCAGTACTGGAGCTTGTACCAAAAAAGGCAAAATTGAGTTCATAGCAGTAAGAAACCAGGCAGACCTTCTCTACTTAGTCTATACCAAAACAGTAATCTCGTATGAGAGCTTTGTTAACCATGCAGTCTGATGGTTAGTAATTGAGGGTGGGAATTATGTAGTCTGTTCAACGCCAGCTCAGCTCCCAGCACCAGGGATCTTGGTTAGTGTAAAATGACCAGTGGCTTCAGCAGGCCAGTTCAGAATACCCTGACAACTGAAGCAGTGCCAAGCATTCAGAAATAAGTGGGTGGGCTGGCACAGAGCATGGGCTTGAGACCCCGAGGGGATGGAGTCCTCTCCTTTCTATGTACCAGCTCACCGTTGGCAATAGCCTTTCCAGTTGGTAGCTCCTCTTTTGGAGCTGTCCAAAAATGAGATGGTCTGTGCCAGGAACAGTCTGGTGATTGATCCAAGTGCAATACTATGGCTTGTGGGAGTGCAAATGGTTAAACTGCGGAAAGGTTCATCTAAAAAAGGAAAAACCTTAGGAAAATATGACTGAAATTTCAAGGAAAAAAAGATGAAAGGGTCCATATATTGTGGATGAAAAAATTCTTTTTGACATTAGCAGAACAGGATGTTTAATTCTGAAATGTAGTTTTGTTAAATTTTTCTATATATATTTATATATTGTAACATGAAGATAGAAACAAAATGTTTCTATTGTGCTAAATTAAATATTTTGACTGACACAAAATTACATGTTTGGTAATAAGGTTTTTGCCTGGAAAAGTCAGAGTGATTTGAAGCAAAGTTTTGAAGGAAACAAATTTCTGAACCACATACTTTTCTATGACATAAGAGCACTATACAGCTCTTTGTTATGTGATTGTTGTTTTTTGTATTTGGTTGAGTGTCTAGAAGCTCCATTTATAGATCCAAACCTCATGGTGTTTGTATCATGTAGACACAAAATAAAAAGGCTATCCGAAAAGGTTATAAGCTAAGGAGGATTGTAAAAGCTTGCTGCAACTAATGATTTCAGTTAGTTTTAAATCCTTGGTCTAGACCTGAAAAACACTGTAGATCATTACCAAGTGCCAGGACATTATGTACTCTCATGCAGATAAGGTAGCTGAAATTTAATCTCTTTAACTATTGGCAACTCTTTTCAAATGCGCTATCCTTGTTTTATTTTCAGAATTCTGCCCTGCAGTGTGAAGAGCCCTAGCTGCAAATCAGGCAGGGGTGAAGTATGGTGTTAGTTGATTTAAACCAGATGCATGCTGCTAGTTAAAGGGCACAGTGGCCTTTGCCAGAATCAGATGACTTTGCTGATAGTGTTCTATTTAGCTGGTTCTTAGTATGTATCAAGAGTGGAAAGGTTAGGTGGAATTTCAATTAGTAACTTGATCAAAATGCAGTTTTGATAAGATCATTTAAAATTGCACCATTGGCTCTTGGTTCTGTGTGTTTCTTGCTCCTAAGGGATTACCTGTGTTTTTGCTCCTCATGTGCAGTCTGTGGTAAGACTGTGCACCTGCATGGAAGGGAGAGGAGAGATTCAGTTGCAAAGGATGTTTTCTGCATCATAAGTGCAGGTCACTGAATGCTGAGCTGGTCATTGGTCAAATGCAAAACATAGTCTAAAAATGCGATGACATTAAGCTCCCTGTGAGGGGCGGAGGAGGATTGTGAAATCACCAAAGGCTTCACAGCTAAGCAGGTGAAGACCATGTCCTCGTTTAAGAGAATGCTTACTTGTAAAACTTAGGAGCACTAGTCCTGGCCCAGAACCTGTGCTAGGCATTGCCTATGCACAGTCTCTGTCCCTGACAGTAGCTAGGTCAGTCTGTCAGTCTTCTTTTTTACTAAAAGCCTGGGTTTTATGGAAAACAGAAAGGGAACATTTAAATAAATATTTTCATTTAAAAAATGTAAAAAAAATTGTTTCAATAATATCTTGCTGAATCTGAGACAGTTGTTTTGGGTTTCTACAATGTAAAAATGTCAGAATTTTTCATGAGAAAAAAACCCATCATTTTTACTTTCTCTGGTTTATATCATCTGCCCAGAAGCAAAACAAAGGTCAGAATTTAAGTCAAAGCAACTCTGTAATTTATAATCAGCACTTAAGAGTTGTGAGGATGAGTGTAGGATTTTGAAACATTGCCTCTTGCTTTGTTACAGGGTGATATTATCTCTTGTGCTGGATCTTACCTATATCTGTGGACAGTCAATGGCCAACTTCTTGTGAGTATTAACACCACCTGCAGCCCCGAATGCCATATTGTTTGCTGCTGCTTTGCTGAAGTGATGAACTGGGACACACGCAGCATCATCATCACAGGAAGCACAGATGGAGTGGTGAGGGTAGGTGGATGGCACAGGAAAGGGAATGTTGATTCATTGTAGACCAGAGGGAGAATTTTGCGTCCTAAATGGAGGGACAGAGTTATTAAAAGCCCATGCCACTGTCTTAAGAGGGCAGCACAGGACTGAAGTTGAAAATCAAAGTAAAATATTTGCTTCCTGTCAACTTTTATCCTCCTGAACAGATGAGTCTTTGCCATTCAGGAAGAGTTTTGAAAATGTGCTTTTTATCCTGGTGTAGTTTTGAAAGCAAAAACTATATTGCCCATTGGAAATATGTGTGAGTCTGGTTTCTGAGAGTTGGTTCACAGCTCAGTTTGTTAAGTCATACTTTCTCAGAAGCAGAGATTCACTGCTGGTTCCACCTCCAGTCTGGTGGGAGAGCTTCCTGGGTTACTGGGATCCTCGTTAGCGTGTCAGCCTCGCAACGCCACCAGCTCCCTGCATACATTTCTCCACTGTAACGCACAGTGGCAGAGACGACTGCAAAATCCTGTTCTGATGTTAGAAGTCCAATTTCTACCCCTTGTTGGGAAGCAGGCAGCCACGTCTCTCTCTTGTTGCATTGTTATAATCTATGCTTTTTCCATTTTTACCTCCTTGCTGGCACAGCTGTGGAAGACCAAATATACCACTACCCCAGACCAAGCTGCTGGACTGAGCCTGCAGAGAGGCACAATGGGAGAGCCAGGCAAGATGGGTATGATCACAGGATGGGCTGTGAACTGCAGTGTGACTCTGTGCTGCAGACTTTGGTTGTGAGGAAGACAAGGGTGTGTGAGCACAGTGGTGTGAAGGGGCGATGGTGCAGATAACTGATGCAGCGTTACTGTAACCAGCAGGAGAAGTACTGGGTTGCTACTGCCCTGCCTTAGAAACAGAGAGTGCCCCTGAGCCACCAGTCTCATGGGCACATCCTGCCTGGATGAAGCTGAAAGCTGCCTCATAGGCTCTGTCATGAGTTCTGTCAAGTTTGATAGACCACCTTTCTGCATAAACGTTTTAAACTAATGAACTATCCTGGCTCCAGAAAGCCCATTACCTTAGCATCTCTGCTGATGGCCTGTACTAAAGTATCCTAGCATAATCTCAGAGTGGGCAGTGCCAGATCCTGCCCTGAAATGGAACAGGGAAGTTTGTTGTCTTTGCTGCCTTGAATGAGGTCAGAGGCCCTTCAAACTGATGGGAGGCCAGCAGGAGGCCCTAGTGCATGGAGCTGTTTATTCAAGGCTGTGCCAAGATGAAGCTGATACCCTGGAGTTCTCCAGAGCTGAGGTTAATAGATGATGGGGCTACAATGCTGATAGGTATTAAAGACAACTCAAGCTCACTTCTCTGTTCTAACACATACAGGAGCTGAAACCTGCCAGGGAGCTTTAAAGGCACATCCTAAATAGCACAGCTTGCTTTTCTTTGCAACATGTTTTATAAGATAAAGGAATTAGTATGTATAATTTACACCACTTATTTGCTGTGATCCTCATTACAGATATTCTCTATTACTTCAATTTTAGGCACACAATTTGTTTAACTATAGAGCTATAGATGTAACATCTGCATAAAAAGATATTATACAGTAATTGGGCTGTTCATGGAACTTGGCATCTACATTTACTTAGATTGCTATGTGAAAATATTTTTACATACAAAGGCATATTGGGAATGCCAAACCAGGTGCCCATCCTACCTTTTGTCGTGTCTCAGAGTAGCTAGAGCCAGATGCTTCTAGGAAAGGTGCAAGAACACCAGAGATGCCAGATGTGAGAGAGTCTGGATGCGGTAGCTACATATTTGGGTTCATTGTGATCTCCAATCGGAGACTGCTGTAAGTCAAAGCAAAAGACTTAACATTCCTTCCAAAATCCTTGTAGTATTCTGTAGTCATTTTGCAGATTCTTTTTATGTGTAGAAACATCAAATATTTTTTTAAGAATTTTAAGAACTTAATTTTTAAGAATCAAGTTCTTGTCCATAACTTCCTGTGGCAGGCATTTCCATGTCCTGTTTACTCAGGTACAATTACATAGGCATGTCTTTGAACAAACTGAGATTTAACTATTTTTAAAATTTATATCTTAAACAGTTTTCTAAACGAGGACTTAAAAGCTGCCCATGGGAGCACAGCAGAATACTCCTGTTTGTGCCTTTTTCAGAGAGGATCATAGAAGACGTACACTGACCCCAGGCATCTGGTGATGTGTAGACATACACACCTGTTTGCACATAAGCAGAAGGATGCATGTTCTCAGGCATATACAGCAATAGTTTCTTTAATAAAAGAGTTGAGAGGTGTAATCAAAGCAGTGACATGCTCCCTTAAACTATTCAGATGACTTCAGAATTATTTTAAATGGCCAATTATTCCCACATCTCATTCTACACATTAAAGAAAATAAAATTAATACAAAACACAATCATTAAAAAGACCAAAGTAACTATGATTGAGTTATGTTGTTAGGTATGTGTGTGTATGTATGTGTGTGTACGTGAAATGTTCTCAGCATTTAATTACTGGTTCTGTTATGAGCAGATTTAGATAAGTTGATAATACCAGGGCTTTATGTAATTTCTTTTTACTAGGCAATTATGGGCTGTATTATATCGTGGCAGCAAGGTATTGTGGGGCATCTTATTAAGCATAGAGCCAGTGAAAACTGATGAACAATTTTGCTGAACTAGGCATGCAATTTAGAAAGCAATAATACACAAATCCAATTTAGCACACAATTGATACAGCCGCACGTCAGCACATGTAACTATCATAGCCACAAATTAAATTGGGATGGGCCTATTTTGCAACAGCACAGGCTGAGATTAAATATATTTGTTCTCAATTTAACAACTTGCTGACCATAAATAATAACAATCCCATCCATGCTGCCCCTAGATACTTTCTAAATATTTATTTTTGAACCACACAACAGGTAACAAGTGTGGAAAACATCTTGTTCTCTGTCGGGAACTGAATCCCAGCTGTGCCTGGACTGGAAAACCAAGTAAGAGCAGCCCTGCAGTGACAGCGCTGGCTGTATCCAGGTACTGTTCTTCTCTTTGCATCACAGCCAGTGTCCAGCAGACGGCACCGCACAGGTCTCGGGCTCTCTGCTGCTCTGCCATAAAGTGGCAGGTTATGTATTTTATTTTGGAGTTTGTATTACTGCTCGAATTTTGGGTTTTGGGTGTTGTTGTTGTTGGGTATTTTGCTTTTGGTTTTTGTTTGGTTTTGATTTTTTGTGCTCTTGGGTTTTGTGGGGTGGGGTTTTTTGGGTGTGGTTTTGGTTTTTTTGGTTTTGTGTTGTTGTTGTTGTTGGGGGGGGGGGGGGGGATTTCTGTCAGACGAATCACTCTTAACCAAACACAGTCACTCTGGGAGCTGGCCTGGCTAACTGTATTAAGTGAAGGATATTGGAATAGTCAGTGGTGAGATAGGAGACAACACAGGAGAAATAGCAGGTTTGGGCCAGAATAGCTGTAGAGATCAGTAGTTGCTACACTGTCTCTGCACCATAGAAAAAACACTGTGCTAGGACTCGCTGCAGATACTATCTCCCTAAAATGTAAACAGGAAGCTTTTGGCCAAAGGACAACTTTGTTGTTAAACCCCATTCAGTTTGCACAGCCAGCAGTATTTTAGTTTACTCAATCCGCCTCCTGCAGTTTCATCTGGCTGCAATATTTGTTGTTATCTTCTACTCCAAGATATTATGATGTACTATACACAGTTGCTGCATTTCTCTCCCAAAGTGTTGGCATTTTGATAGTTGCTAAAATGATTCTTATATTCTGCATGCTCAGATTTAGAGCACTTAGTGAGTGTGATGTTTATATGCATTGAAAGTGAGAAAGTTTTGGGAGGAGGAGGAGTTTCACTGATGTTAGTGGCACTGCATGCAGCAGATATTTCAGTGGCTGAAGCCATGACATTATGTGCTAACAAGTCTGAATTCTGAATCTGGCCAGCAGTTTATTTAACATTCATAGAGTCTCAGAGAAGGGTAAGAGCTTCTGATCTGGCTAGATTGTCCACAACTAACCCACTGAACTCCAGGAAAGTTTCAATCCAATTCTAAGTTCAGTCTTTGAAGTACAAATCTTTGTCGACTCTATACCATTGTTTTTCAAATTCAACATTAAGGATAACCTACTGCCCTGAATGTTGCATCCTCCTCATTGCTACACATACAGGAGAAAGCCGTGATCCTATTTGTGTCTTGTTCTTAAACATTTTCCTCTTTTTCTTTCTTTCTCAAGAAATTCCTCCAAGCTCCTAGTTGGTGATGACTGGGGAAGAGTCTGCTGCTGGTCTGTGGATGGGTAGGAAGAAATAGCCATGAACTCTTGCTTTTTCAGCCTTTTGGATGGAGAGAAAATTACCCTTCAGAGCATGAAAGAATCAGAGAAACTGGAAGCCTATGGTTGGGGACTGAATCTCAAAGGAGTTGTTGGACTGACCCTGCAGTCAAGTCTGACTGAAATTAGAGAATGGACTCCAAAGTTGTGAGACAGACTCTGATAGACATGCACATAAACAATGAGAGTTTGCAGTGTTTTGTCCTAGGAAAACTTTTGTATTTTAAATGTTATTTTAGATACAGAAATTGGCGTAATACATTGTGTTTCTCAAATAATAGCTGGCAATTAAAACTGCCCTGATTATGACAAAGAGCAATGTGTCTTAATAAAATTAACATATTCTAATTTTAATACCATGAGATCAGAAAATACTGAGGCTTCAAACAGATGTTAAGTGAGTTTGCTGCAGTATCTTTGTTCTTACTAACATACAAGTGTGTTAATATCTCTTTTCCTACTCTTCGTCCTTCCCTGAATCTGCATGAAAATGTAAGAATGCCTTCTGAAAAGCTATTTTGTTTGCAGAGTGAAGGTAGGAATTCCCAGGTAGATTGTGGTGCCTTTATCCAGCCCCATTGTGAATATGTTATGGTGCAGTCTTTAGTTTCCTGATCTCTGACTTGTTTTTTTTCCTAGTGAGTAAGGCAGGCAAAATGCATGGAATGGGTGAGGATGAAGATCTGACACAGCTGATCAACATGTTCTTTCATTCTCCTCCTTCACTGCCTTCTTTCCTGGCCTTGTCCTGATGTTTTCTGGAGTATCAGTATATGGAACATACTTCAGGGTTTACCTTCATAGTCACCCTGCATGGTAGAAGTGGGTATTTGTAGTATAACAAGGCTGAGGCCATTGTATAATAAATTTAAGTGCCATTTGTGTCCCTAATGGAGATGGAGAAAGTGTGAAAAATCAAGCTCCTTAACATTTTATGAGATTCTGAAGGAGCTAAACTGATAACTTAACTCCCTCTCTCCCCTGCCCCTCCTTGACCTGGTAAAGAAATTGAGTATCTTATCTTACACATAGAAGGGCTAAGTAGCCACTTAGGCAGAGCAGCTTCTTGAACACCACAGAGTGGGTCAGGACAGAGCCAGGAAGAACACAAAGGACACTAAGGCCATGAAGACCCTTGTGTTTATACCACCAAACACACCCCTGAACAGGCAGAGCCAAGAGACTTTCCAGATTTCCACTGCACTGGGACTGGTTAGCACTGCAGGAGTGAAGCCCTGTGTGTGCTGCACTGGACAGCCAGAGATTGAGGAACATAAGGAACCACTATAGGGCAAAATCTTGGTGCTGAAGACTTGCTAGCATCATTAGGAAGAATCTGGAGTAGAAAAC